TACTTACAACGTTGGTATCGACATTATACATTAAACCCCATATGGAAACCTTAAATAAATGAAAAGCGGTAGGACTCTAAAAATTGTAAATTAGTTTTTTATCAATTTAAACAAATAATATTTAGTTTTTATATTTTTGCTTCCCACTTAATATTTTAATTTTATTATTCCATAAATTAGAAACTTGGAAATATACTATTACGTACTTTCAAATAATAGGTGCATGTACTGCTTACTCACTATATTGTGATGTAATTAAATAAGACTATAAGACTAAATAAATCATAAGGGAACTAATATGATACGTGTATAGTTGAAACTTTATTTAATAATCAGTGTATATATTTATCTATATAGTACAACATGATATGAAGACACAACTACTATCTATAATGTTATTTTTTGTAAAGTAGATTTTATGATAATATTTTTATTAAAATCAAATAAGTACCTACTATGAAAAACATAAGAAATAAAAAACGGTGCCCCCGTGTATTTTCTTCTATTTAACTTATGGCCATAACCATCAAAAATTAAATCTTATTATATACTTATTTAAAGTATATTAAAAGTATACATGACTATTAATAAATAAATATTTATTACACGAAGAAAGTTATAATGAGAAAAAACAATGAAAAAAAAACTTAATGCACAGGAAAAATAATTTTCAGGAAATTATTTATCCATTGATTTTATTTTTCTTACATATAGATACTTTTGGATTGAAAATAATAAAATAGTTAAATGACAGAAAAAGTAAAAAATAAAGTTTATTAAAAAGTTTAACGAAAGCTTGTTATTGTAACTAGGTAAATTAGATGATTATATATTTATTTTTTTTTAATTAAAAAAATGAAACTCTTAATTAATATATTTTTAAACTAGACAGTTAAAAATACAAATATAATTTTTCAATTATAGATATGCATTAAGTAAAAAAAAATTGAATTTTATGATATCTTAATTGAATTTTATCTTACATAACTCAATATTTCTACTCATACGTTTTAAATAGAATCTGTATTTTAAAGATAAAAAATTTAAAATTAAATTAAATTTAAATAAATAGTTATTTTACTTGATTTTTATTATTAGATTGCAACCACAATTACAAAAAAATTACAAATTGTAGAAAAACAAAACCAAAAATATAATTTTAATTATTTAAATATTTATTTTTTATTTTTATTTTTATTATTTACTTAGATGTTTCCTCCGGTTCCAAATTATATTTTACTAAAACTAATTTCACGGTATATGTATCGGAAAATTTAAGTACCATCGCAATTGACTGTTTACTTCAAAGTGATTCGGTTTTCAAAATTGTTCAAATGATAAAAAAAAAAATCTTTACGCATGGTACCTATTAGAAATATTTGGAAATAGTATACAATATATAGATCAATTTAAAATAATATAAAATGTTCACGATAAATAAGTTAAAATGGTCGAAAAAAGTGGCAATTTTAGTTTGACATGATTTTTTTGTAAGTAAACAAAAACGTTGAATTTTATGCTCAGGCATTAGCATATAGGTTAAACAATAAAAAAAAAAAAAAATTGAAACGTTCACAGTTTATATATTCTCATATTCAAGCAATACATTTTTAATTTTATGAGTGAGTATTTTTATTTTTATTTTATAATAATAATAATATTATCATATTATGTTAATATGTTATATAATAATAACCTAGTTGTAGTATTTTATTATAGTTTACCCATTTAGTTATAATTACTTTTTTATAAATTTAGATTTAAAACTTCTTATATATTATAATATTTATTTGAGATTTATTATATATAAAATATATTGAGTTTTATTAAGTAATTATTAAAAAATTCTCACGATTTTCAAATTTATACAACTAGTATTTTAATTCCGCTGTTGAAAAATAATCACAGGAAATAAAATATAACTACAATTGCTTTTCTATAATAACTATGCACTTTGTCCCCTAACTTTATATATTTAAACCTATATGAAAAAAAATAAAGCTAAATAGTCATCCGCACACATAGTACCGTTGATGATACTAATTTACACCGTTTTATATCTACATGCGTATTTATACATGGATTTATGTGTGTATATATAAGTGTACTATTATTACATGTGAGGTTTTATCTGATGGTGTAGCGAACAATAATTACCAAAGCGGAAATATATTGGACATGGGAGTTTAACAGTTTAACACAAAATCATTTTTGGCACCAAATGTTAAGTTACATTTTCAGCAAGTGTACAACACTATATTCTAGCCATTCGATTAATCTTTGGGTCAGATTCTCCTCCTCCGACCACCACCAATCTATCGTATTTTTTCCCGTTTCAAAAACGCAAAATTTTGAAGGATCGATTGGCAACATGTTGCGCATTTTTCGTTTTGCAGGTAATCTCGGTTCAGTCTATTGGACCATTCACCAATCCGGCCATTCAAATACCATTATAAAAATACACGGTCAAATATAAAAATACACTTTTAAGCATTATTATATTATGGGAGTAAGTTATCGTTTATGAGTATATAATTGAACGCTTACAATGTTCATTTATATAGTATTATAATACTAATATATAATTTTGTTTCACATTATTTGAAGACATTTGATCAGTTTGCACTGTAATTTAAGAAAAATTATATTTTCATATGACATTTACAGTGTAATTGTTAAAAAATATTAACACAAAAAAGACTATTGTTAAATTAGAATATTTTCCATTCACACGTTTGTAATGCGAATAATGTCTGAGACACGTAATGCAAGAATTGTAAAGCCAGATTTTGAAGGGATAAAATAATTTGTTAAATTTATGTAGAGTGCTATATCATACTATGAAAAAAGGTTAGAACTTATATTGACCATCAGGGAATAGTTTAAAAGGATTATGTATAAAATAAATATAATTATGTAACGGAATACATAAATAAATTAAAAAAATATGTAATAAAATATACGGTAGCGTGCAATAAGTTGGGGACTTTAAACAAACTTAACAAAATGTCATATTATTCTACATCATGAAAATAAAACTAAGAATGCTTTATTGTTTATTTTAATATACGTTATTGCATTAAACATTTTTAGTATATTAAACATTAACAATAATCAAAAATAATTTTAAAATTTTAAATAAATAGTAGTTCATTTTTATCTAGTTTTAAGGACAATATAATTAAATTACAGCACTCAGTATTTTTTTATGTAAATTTCCAGTCAACCTAGCTGTGTATAAGATTTATATCTGCAGTTCTTAACGAAAACATATTTTAAACATTAACTTAACAATAATAATTCATAAAAAAATTCATAAAAAAAAAAGTAAGCAATAATAATTTTATTTGAAAAAAACCCTAAAGAAAACTATAACTTTTAAAGAAAGATAATAAGTTAGCTTAATTTAATGGGTTTAAATGGAATTCAGTGTAAAATCAATGTTTTTATGAATATTTTATTTCATGAATAGTTCTATCAGTTCATATAAATTGAGCCTCATATGATTTATATGTATATAATTATTATTTTCTCGATATCTGTAACTTATTCATAATTTATTCTGTATCGTATTTAATTCGTCGGACACAAATCTCACTTTTTAAAAATGTTGATGTATATAATATACTCTATGGTATATAAATTTATATTATACATTATATACTGTTCAGTTGCGAGGTTTAATATTTTAATTATGATGGTCGTACTGTGGTGCTATATAATAAATATATAATGTATAGTATTTATATTTACTAATCATAAATGTATTCGAGGTAATAATACTGTTCGTTTATGATTTTAAATATTTATACATAAACTCACTAATGTATATACAGATTTTACTGAATTTGAATCAAAACGATTTTGTAATTATAATTACTAAAAGCATAAGCATTGAAAAACAACTGAAATTTATATTGTCACATTGTGTGATAGTCACGGGAGAGGATTGCTGCATACGATGATTTACAATAGTCAGCTGTGCTCTATTTGTACGAACACGATAATAGATTACCATTAATTATTGAAGTATAAAATGTATTCAACAAGACACATTATGTCAAATCGGCATAACGTTTATCTGATACAAACAAAAACCACATTTTAACTATAATAAAATATTATGAAAACAGTGTGCTGTCAATTATAATCACTATTATTGTATTTTTATCATAAGCGTAAGTCCCATCGATTTATTAAAATTAAACACTGGTAATTAATAACATGAAAAGTATAAATAAGCAGCCACCCATTAGTAACTCAAAATATAATGGATGTGAAATTGATTTTGTTACAAACAAAAATCCAAGAAAAGTTATATTTTAAATCAAGAAATTTAACACATTCACTTTCAAAACTCGCTCGTCTTTTTTTTTAGTTTATCTTTTTATTCATAAAATTAAACCGTCAAATTATTTGGCCACCTACTAAGGTAGAGAGGTTACGATAAATTGTGATAATTAATTTTAATATCTTAATCGTATTCAATGGGCGTCCATAAACGATGCTTTATCGTGCAGCCACTGATGCAGATTTCATTATATAAAAGTTAAATTAATTCGCTCTTTTTTTTCATGTCCTCAAGATTCATTCTTGCGAAAGCAAATTTTATACGAACATAATAACGAATAACATTATATGAATTAATGTTCAATTATTATATTTTGGTCCACAAAATATTTATTTAATATGTATAGTACAAAACGACCATTGCAGAATCATAATTTCCACATAATAATGTTATTTTATATTTTATAAATATTTGTAATGAATTTGTACTAAAACTATTTTTCACTAAAATTGATTAAACAATTTTTATTTCTACAAACATAACAATAAAAACCTCCAAAAGTAGATGATTATATTATAAACGCAATTAATGGCATGATGTTTTATTTTTAATTTAAAATTTAAGTTTTCGTTAGAATTGAATCAAACATTAAGAAATAATCGTAATAATTATTATAATACTCGAATATATTATTTATAAAAAGTGATTTATATAGTTCTTACGTCTTACATACGGCGTTTGCGGAATTTACATTTAAAACAAATTTCAAAACGTTTCCAAGTCTTCCAGATATCACACAGATATGACTACTTGGAATGATTCGCATAGGGTTACGTCAATCTATAATGTTGGTATACGAGTACAAGGGAACGAGTGTGAAATGATTCTCGTTCAATTTCCACCATTCTAGAGATATTCCCGTATAATGATCGGTACCGAACGATTCGTTTCACAAGCTGTTATCAGTATGTATACGCAAAGTGTAAAGATTATACAGACAACCACGAAAAATCGTTGCATAGTTAACACTGTCGTTTAAGGGTAGTGTTTGGACAACTTCAGCGGTCCATATCCTGTTAATAATAATGTAATGAAGTCGCGCGAATAACACACGTGCGTAGTGCTTGAATAATCACCCTTATCGCGTGTCGTTCTCACGAGATTTGCTTAAACCGTAATCGTATTTTATCGTATATTCACGCGTTTGTTGACATATTTTTTTTTCCAGGCGGGCCTTGACGAATGGTGATCCATCGGGTAGTCTTGAGCACAGCACGAGTATCATGGCCCTGCTCGGGGCACTGGCGGCCGCCGGCAGCGGGCGCCAGGGCTGCGTGCTGCGGGTGGCGGCCGACGCGTTATCACTGTATTGCGGCGGTGGCGACGGCGGCGGCAGCGGCGGCGAAGGTGACGTAGCTGGCGGCGGCGGCGCGGGCCCGGACGCGGTCACGGACGACGACGGCGATGCCGTGGCCGACTATTACCTGAACGTGACCCACGGCCACGGCGGTCAGATCGGCGACTACTTCAGGCCCATCCGGTCGGTGGCCATCGACGACGACGGCTATAATTACCGCACCGGCAACCACTCGGCCATGGCCGCCGTGCTGGCCAACGTGTCCGCTAACGTGGCGGCCGGCCTCGAACCGTTCCTGAACGGGTCGTACAACCACACGACCGAGAACGCCGATAACTTCACTAACTACTTATTCGTCGTCACCATCGGCATCATATTGGGCGCCATGATATTGACCACGATTTGCGGTAAGCTCGTTTGCCGTAATGTTCGTTCGGTAGTTGTATCGGCCGCAACTGTTCGCGACGAACAGGAATCGACTCTGTTACGGATGCGTACGATTCGGTGTTGCAACATTAACTGTTCGAATAACTTTTCGGTTTTTACGCCGCATCGTATTAAGCTTCGTACCGGGGGAAAAGGTTACCGTCCCACTGGCACAACAGATCCTAGTACTGGTAATGATTTCCATGCAATAGAGCAACCACCTCGGTTGGCTTAGTTTAGGTTAGGTTAGGTTAACCTAACACTTCACATTAGTTCTGCGCCTGAAGTTTACCGACTGGAGAAATTTTTTTCCATAACAATTCGAAAAAATTCCAATTACACGTCTCACAAACCCGTCGGTATATCGACGGTTAAAAAACGAAACAAACGCTTTATTGTTTTGATTATTATCAATTTCACTGTATTGGTTTCGTTATTGGTTTTCACTATAGTTTTCGTTTGAACATTTATACGCAACAATATTTTATACTTTACGGGGCTTTATAAACAAATAATATGCACTATTTATATTGTAAATTTAACTAACAAACTTTAACTCATTTATCATCGTTTAAGGTGACCAAATTTATTTTTTCACTAGCATGACAGTTTTTAAATGTTTTGAGTAAAACCAGGTTTTTCGGTAGACAATTATTAAAATCACTACAATGAATAAACCATTACTAAATAAATACGGAATAGTGTTATGGTATTTTGAATATAGTGTACAACAATATTTTAAATAATTGGACTAGTTGGTTTATTACTGTATATACCGTGTGTTTAGAAATAAATATTGCATATAGTAACATAATATTAGTAAATTCAAAAATTTAATTAAACTCTCATAAATAATACATTTGTTCGTAAAATTGTAAAATTTTGTCTGAATCACAAAGTATTACACATCATATACTCACATCTACTCAAATTTATCGTTGTCAGGAAAAATAAAATAAAATATGTAGGTGTAGTCTTAGAGACTGTCGTGTAAGATTATTTTTAAACAAAAACCGCTTTTTTAATTGACAAATAATTGATTAAAAAAAATTTTATTTATGTGGGAAATGACATATACTATGCGCATACATCTAATCTATAAATAATTGATTCTCTATTTAACGCCTGGACGATTAGTTCAGATATACATAATATACCTTTTGCCTACGGTATAATAGTTAAAATATACTCATTGTAATTTTTGATCGACGATTTGAAATTATTGTTTTTCTTCAGTGGTCCAAACTTGACGATTTCCCAATCAATCATACTTCTATCCCTTTCGATTTATAATAATTGTATTCTCCGTGTCTTCATATACATAACTAATTTCTCCATCTTCATATGTCACGTACATATGTTTTTTTTTTTCGCAAAAACGTGCTTTATTTTGTTTTTCAGACCACATTGAATTCGTCACAATTATTTCAATCGTACGTTCGTATTGCCATCACTTCTACCGTCGCTACTCCATTGCTGCCAAATTTCAATAAAATATTCGTTACAATAAAAAAACTTATATTTTTATTTTATATTTTTGCGATTTCACATTTTCACAAAAGGTGGTTAGTATTTTAATAATTTTTCCATTTTGTTTTAACGCAAGAACTATTATACTCATTGCTATTTTGTATCTGTTCGTGGATATACCGATTACATCAATCAGTTTTTTTTTATTTCATTTACAAAATATTCGTTCGTTTTTCCGATCTTTTTTATTTTTATTTATTTTGTTTTCATGTCTTTCATAAATTCGATCAAATAGTTATTACAAACAATTACTGTAACTACTAATACAGCTGTAATACATAGTTGTACAGATGCGCATTTTTTATTACTATTATTTTTTCCCCTACTTAGTATTTAATGTTTTTTTTTTTTTTTTTTTTTGTAGAATTTCAACTCGCAAAAACCTACGTGTATTTTTAGTTACCTGCTTTTAAAACTACACAAGGTATAAAACAGACTAATGCATAAACCGTTTGTGTAATGAAATCAACGGCATTTTGAGAATTTTGAAGCGTAATTGCTGGCACAGAGAAGATCTGAAAGAATGAAAATAACGCAAAAATGTTACTTGACAACGTCATGTTAAATTATTTAAAAAACTGTCATCTAAAAAAAAAGAAAAGAAGAACATTTAGTGCAAACTGTGTTGTATGCTGATAGTTAAAAAAAAAAAAAAAAAACGAAAAATTATAGTTAAATGAGATACGAATACAAGTGTGATGGCTCTGGTAAACCACGAGTGGTATTATTGTATGACCTAAAATACACTATTTCGCGTACATGTATAGAACCAATTTTTCATCAAATATAAAGCTACAACGTCACGCTACTGTTGTATTCCCATAGCGCCATGTGACGGACAAAGCTATGATACGGTCACCGACCTTTAATCAAAGTATTTGTTCGATCACTCGAGATTTATGATAATGAAATATATAATTTGGAATATGGAAAAATCTATTGTGTTGTATTAAACATAGAATTAGTTTGCTATCGTTCTCGATGAAGCCTTATGACATTAAAATCAGTGAAAATATATAATTAAAATTCATGATTTTTTTTTATTTATTGCTGTACAAACATAAGCTCATTTGAAGGACTACTGATGTTCGTGTACATCAACGGGCGATTACCACAACGAAATAGATGTATTTTAATGAGAATTTATTATAAATTTAAACTCACCATATGTATTTAAATTTTACTTAGAACAATATAACAATGATGTTATCATAAAGCTAACAATGACACAAGAAGAAAATCTTATACTGCTCTATTAAGGTACCAATTTGTACAAAATGTTAGAAAAAACTCAACCTAGTATTATAATTAGAGCTTATTTTGAATTGTATCGAGTATATAATGGTGTCAAATATGTTGCTAACTTTTTGTGCGCTATCAATTTTTTCAAATGAATTATGGACATTATGTTTTGCTAGGAATTTGTATATATACACACACAAAATTGAATTTAATTATATTTTTTGAATACATTTCATTGGTAGTTTTACTCAATCGATTATGTCATGCTTTCACCTAATATTCTCAGATTTGTGAAATTTTAGACTATTTCCATTTATGTTGACATTCTTATAGTATAATTATATATTTTTATAAAAGTATAAACAATCGGTCACACAATACATTTTCTTTAAAATGAAGAAAAATATATTAATAATACTTTCATGTGTAATACATTTACAATATAATCAGATATCTTCCATTAATTTAAGATATTGTTAATTCATACTTACTAGACTATTTCGTTGAATTTCAGATATTTCAAAAAATGATAATTTGATGATTTTATTTTTTTTATTTGACATTTGTTCTCTCTTTTACTATTTCCCCTCTTTCAAAAGCCACTTAAATTATGTTATATGATGTTGAAAAAGAGAACGTGTATCATTTAAAATAAAAAATAAAAATTCCATAACACGTTAATACTTTTTTAAGCAATTTTATTTGGAATATCATTTTGAAACAAAATATATAATTACTTTAAGTAAAATATTTTTAATGAAACAAATATCAGAATTCGAAAAATGTGATGAAAAAAAAATGTATACCGTATTCGATAAAAATGTTTTACTATATTTTTTTGTTGAAAACCGTCATGCTGTGATTAAGATTATAACGTATATTTTAAACATCAAATAACACTAAAATGTTGCTCAATTCGTAATACTTCTCTTCAAATAGTATTATGCACACCATTACATGATATTATAATATTCAGCATTCACTCTTTGTGCACGTGTTCAAGTTACTGTACGGAACCCGAGCTTAAATTGGTGACAAACGTTGACAGAAAGTAACATGAACCTTTAACGTGTTCATACATGTTCCTTGTTGTTTGTAATGAGTCAAAAAGCAACGAAGATGTTGTTTTAGGAGACTACCCTTTTCAAGTCACAGTTTTGGAAATTATAGAACCGATAATGTATTACATATTATTATCGCAATAATTCAATTGTAATCCGATTACCAAGTCAGCTAGACAGTATCTACAACATAGGTGTAAGTATAACGAGTATATTTATATAATAAATATTATACAGGTACATGGTAAGTACGTATTTGTTTTTTATAAATAAAATATGACGTATAAACATTATTGTGCCGTGTCTGGGCCCAGTTCTTATGATGTACCTATGAGCTATATAAGTAATATCATAAGTGAGTGGTGGTGCGATAAAAATAATGGCATTCGGTGGAAGATTTTCCACTATAAATAATATATAAGAGACCTTTGCACGTGTATTATTTCGTTCTCTTGTTCAACGTTAGGCGACGTGATCCGAAACGCGACGTTAAAAGCTGCGTTCATCCAACTATACCGTGTCGTGTCTAGTCGTATAAAACAATTCTCCCAGATTTACTGGGCCATGGTGGTTACAAACAGGTATATACCATATATGTATGCATGACTTTTATCACACTTTCTGGTATTACAATATTAAATTGTTTTGAATCGGTATACCGGGTCATTATCATGTGATATGACCTGATCTATAGACTTGACATGATTACGATGTATCAAGTATTTTTTACAATATTCACATCAAAATTAGTGAATTTCTTTCGCTTAAAATAAAATTTAATTTTCATCTCAACATAATAATGGGTTAATGATAAATACTAGACTATTATTGAAATTTTGTTAATATAATATACCATTATACTAAAACATTAAGATAATTACTATAACTCATTAAAAATAAATATTTAATTCATTGTTGATTTGTTAATTATCATCATTATCTATGCAATTTTTATACACCTGAAATTAATACGTTTAATTAATACAATGAATGACATATTTCAATATTTTTATTCATTAATTTATAACTAATATATTTAAATAATTAGTTTTTTTTTTTTTTTTTTTGTGTCAATGTATTGAATAACAAGTATAAAATCAAGTCATCGTTTCTTTAGTTTGAATATTTATAATATTTGCAAGAATTATACACAAAACCGCGTACATCATACGCTATTATAAAAATTATAGTTCAAATTGTAAAACATTGCAACATAATGGGATATATTGTTAAATTATTTAGGTTTCCATGGTATAGAATCATAACTAAAATCATATTGAGATAAATATCTTGTCTTTTCTTTAGATTTCGATGCAAAATCGTATATTCTATATGAACCGATTTCAAACTAAAAGGATTTTTTTTTTGTTAAGTTAAAAATAATTTACCATTAAAAACAATCGAATTATTAATTAACTATTCATCAAACAACGATGTTATAATCGAATTAAGTTATACTCAACATGCCAGAAAATTAAGCATTGTTAAATGATTTATTTAGTGTGAATAAATATTAAAATAAAATGTATTATTTTTTTTTCTTAATTTTTTTATTTTTACGTTTGAAACATTTTTTTAATTCGAGAGAGGGTAGATAATTCAAAAAAAAAAAAACTCTTATTCTTTTCTCTTTAAACACAATCGAATAACAATGTATTTTGCCTTTCTAGGCGTCTTTTTTAGTATAATATGTATAAAGTACCCACTGCTATAAACTTTGTTCGTTTTGTATCAATTTGTCAAATGTAATTATATGCTAAATGTTTGGGTAGGAATAAAAAGCAAAAAGAGAAGCTTTTGCAACTAAACGATAAAGTGGCAACGGGTAAATAAAACGATATGAATATAAACGTTATTAAGATTAAGCAAACGAAATAAGAAGCGTAGGTATACACACTAAAACACACACACACACAAACACACACCATACACATGCATACATACACAGAGGGAATAAAAAAACTTATGGATAAAAATAAACGTTAAAAACGCGATTCTCGTTTGGTTTCAGAACGCGTAATGTAAACAATATGTAAAATAAATGTAATATTTTATAGAGTCCCGGCAGTATAAAATAACATCATTATACAATTTATTATTGTCAATGAATATTAAAACGGGGGGGACATAAGTACCTGCAATTCGCATGCGATTGAAATATACAAGTAGGTGTATATAAATCTAAGCTCGGCCTGATTTACGCTGAAACGTCTATGCGCTCACGAAATATTTCATTGTAATACCTGAGTATGCCACATTTATATGTATATATATATATCCTCATTACATTATTATTTATAATCCGTTGACTACTATGTAAGTGCTACACTAACTGTTGTCAGAAAGCCATTATTTTTTATAATGAATTTCCATAATTAATTTTATTTTGCCTTAAATATATCAACTTTAGGTTTTAATATAAATTTTCACGGAACTAACATAAATTGATGACTTGATAAAATATATTTCCATATGAAACAGTACATCTTGATAGTTCTAATAACCCTACAGGGCTTTTAATTTAATATCATTAGTAGGGTTTAAGCACCCATATAGCCTGGTGGTACAGTTTGAGCAAGACTATTAAACCCTAAAAAAAAATAAAATAAATTCTTATACTATTTTTCTTTTATTCAACCAATTCTATCGTTCATGAACTAGCGGTCTGTGGTATATTTCACGATTATCCGTGCAATAGCACACTGCACATAAATTGGCTGATAGTATTATTACATTGGAATTCACGTCGTGTGTTGTGTTTAATATGGATTTGTAGTAGAGAAACAAGAACGGTCGAACGGTGCCAGCGGGATATTTGGTCGTTTACAAATCCACAGTGATTTCGGATTATCAACGGTTTTTATTTTTATAATTTTTTGCCATAAACCTTCAGTAGCTGTCACCGTTATTTGCTCTCGATTATATCTATAGAAATATACACAATGATGCATCGGTAGTAAAAATAACTGTATAGGTGTTTTATTCGTTTTCAATGCGATGGTTTGCGCCTTTGCCAAAATGTTTAATTAAAGTCGTGTATTCGACATAGCCATAAAAGAAATATTGACTTAAATTTACATAAATTATTCAATTGTTTCTAAATTGAACAATTATTTGTTTTTGACGATGCGGGTGGGTTGGTTTATGAGTGAGTTTTTTGAACAGGAACAGCAAGAACAAAGCCAGTAAAAATAATAGTTGAATTGACTATAGTATTGAATTTTTCTTCATCTTTACTAATATCATATTACATTGGCATTTAAATACGTTTTTGACCATATTTAGAAATGCTTTTACATGTTTTTAAGGTTGAAGCTAGATTCTCGGTAGAAGATAATTTTCGCCAAAACAATCAAATACTTTACCCAAAAAATGTTTAATTTTATTTGCAATAAACTTATTAAAATTTTAACCTTGCCATTTCTGATTTTTACTTACAAACCCTTGTAAACAAAAATAGTGATTTATTGGAAAAATATGTAACTCAACGTATTTAAATTTTAAATAATACAATTTGTAACTTTATATATATTTTTTTTATCGGCAAGTTATTCTAAAGTTTACATTTTGATACCTAGAAAATGTATAACTTATTTATTAACTTGGTAATCAAATTAGGTATACATTTTAATAAAATTAAATAATAATATTTTATAAGTAAATTTATTTTTACAATACTTATAAATATGGTTTACAATATCTTAATTTAATTGAAAACCTAATAAATCAAGTTGACAAAACTAATTAAGCTTTCACTTTTGACTTTTTCGCTGTTCAATTTAGTATTCCAACATTAAATGTTACCAGATACTGCATTAAGTTTGTTTACAAATTTAAATTTTAACTGTATTATTTAATAAGCTAATTTTGTTTTGTTCAATATTTATGATAGTAGATTGATACTACACTAATACAATATCACGTAATATTCAGAACGAATAATATCTTGAATGTTAAATGTATGAATAACTCAGTTATTCTATACATTCATCGATTGACTTGAACATTTTCGAAGTTCAATTGAATGATTTATGTTATGTATTGATTTCTTAACAAAATTATATTTAACAAGATACAAGAAACTACCCTCACCTTCGTATAAGATATGATGTACATATATCTAATGATAATATTCAGCTGCATAGGAAAATCATTTTCACATACTGGAATTAGTGTTCTCGACCGAAGGGTCAGCGCTGACGTCGATCGAACGAAACTATATCAATGAATGCTTATGAACAACTATAGTGCAGCGCTGATAAATTGACACGAGCGTACAGCTACGCCGTGCTGACGAAAACCGTCGGTTTAAGCACGTACGTCGGTCGACCGACGGGCCATATCGATAAATACAAGCGTTTATTTGACGCTGATCGATTGACCGATCTTAGGTACGTGTGCAAATTTATTTATGACCATTTAAACTAAAATTTTATTTTAATGCTTTGTAATTGAATTATATAATATTATAATCGTTATAATTTTTCGCAAGCAGCTAGTCAAAATGTTTAATATACTTTCCAAAGTAACCAAAAAAACGTTGACGCATGTTCTCGTAATTTTGAAAACAACATACACAATACTCCTTTAATTAGCCGGTCTACAATTATCGAGTAGACATGATATTTTCTACGTTTTTTTTTATCTATCCCGTTTTAATTATTTACACAGATATATACCTACATATCATAGAATTTATAATATATGAATTTATCTTTCCAAAAATTAAAATTAATATATTTGAAACCTAAAGAAAATAACTAATGACAAAATAACTTATTATATAATAAACATGACATACCTGACGGTTTGTCGTCGGCTAGGCATAAATCGCGAGGTGACGACCGATAATCAACGCGTACCATCGGTCGAGCACTAATTTCAGCCTCACAAATAATTGTTAATTATCCAAATGACAAGGAGAAAAATATAATTATTTCATAGCTTTTACCTAAAGACTGGTAATTGTGAGCTGCGGAGTTATGGCTATACGCAGTGGCATAATTGTGGGGGGCAAAGGGGGACAAGTGCCCTTTTGACTATTTTTTGAGAGATAAAGGTATAATTTCCCCTTCTCCCAGATAATCCAACAGTACAAATAGCACCTTTTATTAATGAACTCATGGATATTTTTTAACAATATTGGTACTTAGTACATGCTACCTAAAATTTATGTTCATCTAAACCATAAAATGAGTTAAAAGACTTATGTAAAATTAAATAATTAGATATAGTGTATAAAATACATAAATAAAAATATGTCTTAACTGGTGAGAGGGGGGTGTCAGGGTTTTGGTAATAATAAATATATTATATTGCTCCCCCCTAGGTTTTTTCTCAGTTACGCCACTGGCTATACGAGATTAAATTCATGATCACGATGGCATAAACGATTTACAATATAACTTGTTAACATTACGTATACTATTTTTAAATTATGTCGTGTTACATAGACAAAAATCATGTGTTGGAAATTCGTAATTAAAACAAAATAGTCCGTTAAATCGCGTCTTCGATATTATTATCGATGTTTCAGCGCTACTGACCGTTATCATAATAGTAAATATGATTTATTAATTATATGTTATATTTATATATTATTATCGCATATGCCAACAATAAAATACAGAAAGTGGTGTATTATCTATCTACTTAGATAGCATTACCAATTATCTTGAAAACTCAAAATATATTTTCTTCTTACTATGCCTAAACGCGAAATTAATTAAGATTACACGTTTGTGATATTTGCAGGTAACGCTTTAGTGATAGCGGCAATCCTGTTGGAGAGGAATTTACAAAATGTGGCAAACTATCTAATTGTCTCGCTTGCAGTCGCTGATTTAATGGTGGCATGTCTAGTCATGCCCCTAGGAGCGGTATACGAGGTATGTGTTATGCATGTTGTTTACGTTTCAATTATTGATAGTGAATTAAAATAAAGATAATACTCTCATGATATATGATGCTAAATTTCTGTATTTTAATAATCCCCCTTCCCACTCGCACGCCATTGGAAGGCTATAATGAACTAGACGAGTGAAATGTGTAATTTTGTCACACAATCTCGTTATAGTATACGTAGTAAATTATTGGGCGGCGAGCGGTCATATTTTTATATCAAACACTATTTTTTCTCATGTGATTTTAGGTAACAAAAACCATTTATTTAGATATATATATATATATATATATATATATATATATATATATATATATATTGTCCTATAGAATTATAGCAAAGATAGAAATATTACTTTACGTATGTGAGAACATCACATTATTTTTCAACTACGTTTATTATAAGACATTTTTGAGGTCAACAGATCATTTAGAAATACCTAGTAGATCACTTTTATTAAACCAACACCGATGGTACTATGTATTACCAATGTATTATTGTATTTCAAACACGTATAGACTTGTTTTTACGTTCTAAAACTGGTTAGAATTTTAATTTTTTAATGTAAACCTTCAACATTCACTACACTTATACTAAAATGTATGAGTATATGTTTTGTATGGTTTAGATGTGATTATTTTTATTTTTTTTGTTCTCATTTTATAGCCCGTTCTTAAATCCAATGACAAGAATATTTTTTTTTATTAAAAATAAATTATTAAATCCTAATGTGGTTCCAATTTTTTGAGATTTTTCGAAGATATTTGCACCTCTGTATCAGACATAATAGCACCCCTTTCTTTCAGACTGAGACTACATTTAATATATACTATTGTGTAAAAAACTTTTACAGAAAAATTTGTTTGATTGATTTATAAATTAAAAATTGTTCTATCAATTGTCAATATATATTTGCGAAATGCAATTTAACCATAGGTAAAATATTATGAATGGATTGATTTTTACTAAGGAATATTCTTCAAAACAGTTATTCTGTGAACAGCGCAGTGTTACATGAGAATATAACAGATATGACAATATGGTAATATATTGTTGCGTAACAGTATTTGATATCAGCCTCCGTGTACTTATATCGATGGAAATTCGCCAAAATTAGTCCACTAGAATGATTTTGTTGTTGAGTTTTCTCGAAATGATGGAATGTCCTCGTATAGTTTTAAACGTCTATAGAATGTGTAGTCTTAGAGTTCTATAATTGCTGGCACCATATATTATAACTTATAATATGCTATGAACATAATAATGAGCTCTAAACTCGAGAAGTATTATAATATTATCCTTTACATGTAATTACCTAGAATCTTGCACGAATGATACAAGTTTCATGACAATCAATATAACTGAAATAAATATCATACAATTTCTTTTGCATTGAAAACAAAGATTCTTGCGTTTGAAATTAAATTTAAAAACTTTGATCCGATAATCCATAGAAATAATATAAAATACGTAGTATCAATTGATAGTTAAAATCGGTTTAGCAGAGATTTTAGGTGAATTAAAATTATCTAATGATTTATTTTTTCGTTTTGCGTCAATAAGAGATAAATTATATAAGCAATTGCTATGTTATTTCATATCAGCGAATCTATTCGATTGACTATTCTTGTTACGGTTATATTAGATGAATAATATAAGCCCTGGGGGTTCGTCCTGTGTGGTTATCACCTCCATACCTCACCAGCGACCGATTGATGCATCAGATAAAACAGTAGATCCCCTTTATTTTATTTTTATATTTTATGAAATAAAAATTTCTTTGAAAAATGTAATACATCGATCGTAACTCTTGTCACATACATGGAGATGATTATCCCCCAAGCTGTATGTATTACGTATTCGAGTCAAGTACAACCGCAAACTATATCTCAAGTTCGGAAAGTTTCACCAGTCCAGGACAATGGCCTCATGTGTAGTGGTATAACAGACCGCAGAATACTCGCACGCGTGATATATTTTCTTCAAAGATACGTTCACCAAGAAATATATATATATATATATTTATATGTGCACACCCACACACAGATATCATTATAATCTTATTTATTTATTTTTTTACATAAATAACACCAAGAAAGGTTGATGGCTATTCAACTTTTCTCTTCAAATTTTATTTAGACATTTATTTGAAAAGTTTCAACTTGAAGTTTAACAGTGCTTTTATACTTTCACTATGTCGTATATATTTTTACAGCTATATATATTTCGGCGAATATGTTTTTCTTTAGAAACTTAACAAGTTTCAAATTTAAATATTTCATTCTCAAAAAGTAAATAAATGCGTGTATACCGACATACACTTAAACAAACATTTTTATTTACTTTAATATTATCTAAACTGAACTAAAACATACATCTATACAAGGAAATTATTTTAATGGCAACTTTCGACTGCGACAGTTATTAATAAGTGACTAGTCAGAGATTATTTAATGAAAAATCTAAGCTTGTTTATTTAACAACCTGTTGTACACATTTATATGCAAAATTATTATATGATAATGTATTATTTTAAAATTAGGTAAATGCCATTTGGATTGAAAAAATTGAAGTTTAATTCTTAAGTATAAACTAATCAAATCAAATACGTTATAACGGTATTATTTTAATTTTTTTATTTTAGTTTATAATATTGGATAATTTAAGACACTGATGTATTGTACTAATTGGCGTTAGTATCTGTCTGCATGCTATTATTTCTGTTATATTATACACCTAATATGAAGTTGTAGGTGGTATCCAGTAATATTTATACCACTCGACGAAGGAGCGATTGAAATCTAACGAGCTAGAAACATCATACAGTTAATTGAAATCCGAGTAGTAATACTTTAATTTAAAATGAACCAAAATTAGTACCATCTAATACAGATTTGACTGACTATGTATATATATTATTTAGTCTGGTGTTATATTTGTCTCAATCGATAGCCGTTGGTTCACGAATAATGCTGCTCAATTAATGTGTTCAAAGAAAGTAGTTTCGAAAAATCACAACGAAATAACATTTATTTTTCAAGATAATAAACAGTTTAACAACGACACTTACTATTTCATTTTAATGATAGCTATTACTAAAATACAATAAAAATACAAAGAACAAACTAAATCCTAATATTAGTACTTAGAGATTTTCTAAACTATATTATAGTTATTATGAGCTAAAAGTTTAATATAAAATTGTATACACATAATAATATAAGTTACTCGATGTTTAGTTATGAATGAAATGAATATTATAATTAATAATTATTATTAATAATTATTAACTATTAATATATTAATAATTGCATATTCTTTAGTTACATGTTATTTATTTTTATTTTTTTTTTTTAATATTATGTATACGATTTTTACCTGAAGAAATAGAGCAGTCAATTATCATAACTGTCATAATTATCATAAGAGATTATTGACTCAAAAGAAAATATTGTCTAGTTGATACTTAAAAAGTAGACATCCTAACATTATATTTATAATACTTTTATAAATAAATGCGGAAAATTGGTAGATAGTCATAAAAAAGAAAAAATTAACAAATTACTGGTTTTTGAACAACTTAGAAAATTGAAATTTTCTTATTTTTTTTTTTTTTTTCGATAATTTTGATTAAATAATTTTCAATCAAAAATAAAATAAAATTTAAAAATAATAAAAAGTATACATCATTCAAAGTTCCTCGTATATATATATATATATATTATTGATAAAAATATGAGCTTTTGAACATAAGAATACTACATTTTAACAAAACGATAAAAATTTCAAAAATATACTACATTTTTCAATACAACATTTATAAAACTTTAAATTTGAAAATCACATACAAGGTACAAAAAAAAATATTTTATTAGCCTTACAAAATCGAATTTTGACGAAATTTGATGTATACAAATTCCTATTAAACCATAGTTATTTAACTTAAAACATTTAATAGTTTCGAAATATTTTTATTTTTTGTTTTAAAATTTAGATCATTTAAGATCAACCTACCCTATTAAGAAATCTGATTCTTTTATTTTATTAAGTATCTTCAAAAATAGAAACTGATTCATCCGATCTCTTTTACTCGGAATCCTTGTATTAAAGGAATGGTACATTGATTTCAAGTTTAAAATACCAATATAACAATACCATTTACTCATCTTTGTAACTTACTCGACCATAGAGTATCATTCGATCTAAAAGTTCTACCTTTTTTTTTTTATAAAAATATATACTACATAGTCAGAAATGATAAATTGATTTTACTTAACTTTAATAAAACCTTAATAAAACCTTTTACTATAAATAGTTTGTAGAATTTTTTTTATCACTCTGGAAAGTGTGTCATTACAATTATTTAAAATTCTTGTTTTAGTATTTAATTATATCTAGTATTATGCTTTTTTTATTTCCAAAGTGAATACGAGAATAATTAATTTCTTTTTTTCACAAATTTATATATTTTCCTTTATTAAATTTATTTATTTTTTTTAACTCAAATTACTGTTAAACTGTAGTTTATAAAAAAGCATACGTTTGAACAACTCGTTTCTACTTACAATTTTTTTTGAAGAATACTTGATTAAATGTAACTTTCTTTGTAAGTAATATTAATAAAAAAATTAATATTAAGAAAACATATTTCATTTGATCATGGTAGTGTAATTAATATAATTTAAAAATTAAAAAACAATTACATTACAAAATGAATTATATTTATCTTTAGATTTTCTCTATCTCTCTCTTCCTCTATCAAAAAAAAAAGTAAAAGTAATGACCACTAATTAGTGAGAACAAACTATAGTGATTTAAACTTTTTGAGCTGAGATAGGAAATCGAAAATATTACAATGTTCTCGCTCTACAACTACATCAAACACACCTAGTATAAACTTTAAATCGTTATATTGATGCTCCGTTTAAATATTATTTAGTTACAGTTAATAATTTATAAAATTAAAATCAGTCCAAACTGCAGATA